CTTTACACACCCAAGATAGTGGACATTGCGACTGCTGTGATAGAGATGTATGGAGACATCTGAGGTTTTTCATTGGACACAACAACAACAGAAAATTGACATGGACCCAGAGCAGCAGCTTTACACACCCAAGATAGTGGACATTGATGCTGCTATGATAAAGATGTATGGAGACATCTGAGGTTCTTCACTGGACACAACAACAGAAAATTGACATGGACCCAGAACAGCAGCCTTACACACCCAAGATAGAGAACATTGTGACTGCTGTGATAGAGATGTATGGAGACATCTGAGGCTCTTCATTGGACACGACAACAACAACATTTATAACTGGCCATGTATGTATTGTTTGTGAAAGATCATTGTTCGATGCAAATAATTGTATAGAAATAAAGATTGTCTTTCCCATCAAAATAAACATCAAAACTAGATGTCATCAATTGACCTTCGTCGCAAAATAGGGCGTTAGATTAGGGTGGTCACTTTGCCAGCTAAACACCTCTTTGGTAGATTATGAATATTTCATTTGATCCCTTGTGGTTCTCATGGAATAATGTATGAAGAAGCCCATTAGCACGAAACCATGGTCTCTATTGGACGAACTGGCCATCCTCGCATCGGCGAAATCGAGAATCAACCGGTACTTCGTCCAGGTCGGACTGGGCCAGGCCATCGAGGACCCCGTCATTGCCTGGAGGAGGACTCTATCGCAGTGAAGAACACCTGGCCTGATCTTTTCCATGTAAATATTTTAAACTGTAACGTCTCTCCCTACTGTTGACTAGATGTCATATAAACTGTGTTTAATTGTCAATTGTCACTACAAAATAGACGATAAAGCGACATTTAACACAGGGTTTATTGAATAGGTGGTATATATTGCTGATAGATGTTTATTGAGTGGTGTTCTTACTTCTCTTCGGTACATCACAGGGCACTGAAGGAGATGCTAGAAAAATCTTACTTATTTTTCCAACTCCTGAAGATGTCCGACCATGTACTTGTTATGCTAGCTAGCGTCGGATTGGAAGAACACCTGGCTGATCTTTTCCATGTAAATATTTTATACTGTAATCTCTCTCTCTACTGTTGGCTGGATGTTAATAAACTGTTTTTAATTGTAAGACAACACTTGAAGTTACACCGCATGAGTTTCTTTTCAATGAGAGAGAAAAATCAAAATTTTATTTCAAGGTGGAATATTGACTATTTCTAACCTTTTTGGATGAGGTATGAAAGGGTAAATTATGAAGAGTAATGATGAACGGAAAAATAAAACCTCATACCTCATCCAAAAAGGTTAGAAATAGTCAATATTTCACCTGGATATAAAATTTTGATTTTTCATTGAAAAGAAACTCATGCGGTGTAACTTCAAGTGTCGTTTTGCAATCACAGGTCGCAGTGTATTATATTGCTTTTAATTGTCAAAAAAAAATTGTCATGGTCTCAAGGTAAACGCTACTCAGTTTCCCAAAGCTGTTATGGCATTGTCACTGACCTGAGGCTGCTATTATGCGGCAAATGTTAATAGATGATGTCTAGTTTTGATGTCTCTTTCGACAGGAGAGGCGACCTTTATTTTTCTAGATCGTTTTCTTCACAGCCAAGATTTCCATAAATATTTGTATTATAAAGAGAAAACGTGCCATCTACAGGGTGTACCAGGTAAATTGGGACTAACTTTGACAGTCCATAAAACAAAAACTACTTGAGATTAAAAACTTGTTTTTTTTTCATTACGTAGCCATATTCATGTAAAATGCAACAGTACATGTGTGCGCAGTGTAGTGATGAAGAGTAACCGAGAATTTGAAAATCGAGCTGCCATCATCGTTGCCTTGCGCGCCGGAAGGAGCCCCAAAAAGATAGTGGATTTTCTTAAGTTGCCCAAAACCACTATTTTTCGTGTCAAGAAGCAGTTTGATGAGGCCGACAGTAACAAAGAGGGGATAGCTACAAGGAAAAAGCACTCGCGTCGATCGGACAGGGTAAGAGGCGAAGAATTTGTCAAAAATGTCAAGGAGAAGATTGATGGAAACCCTGGGAAGAGCATGAGGGCCATAGCCAAGGAAATGGACGTTGGCTCTATGACAATTGTCAGAACTATCCATGAGGACCTTGGTCTCAAGTCTTATGCCCTTCGGAAAGGTCAGTTGCTGACTGAGAATATGAAGAATAACAGAAAAGGAAAGGCTGCTGCCCTCCTCAACAACCTGAAACACGACTCTTTTAGCATGCTAAGGTTCTTCTCTGACGAAAAGAACTTTGACGTGGACCAAAAGGTAAATCTCAGGAATGATCGCTGGATCTGTAAAGACCCCTCAGAGATACCTGTCGTGATGCACACGAAATTTCCTGCCTCCGTAATGGTCCTTGGCGTTATCAGCAGTGAAGGTGATGTCATGCCTCCCCATTTCTTTGAGAAGGGCCTTAGGATGAACGCTGACACCTACATCAATGTTCTGGAGACCGTTGTGAAGCCTTGGATGGACATGGTGGCCGCAGGAAGGAAGTATGTCTTCCAACAGGACTCAGCTCCAGCCCATAAGGCAAAAAAGACACAATCGTGGCTGACACTTAACGTCCCTAGTCACTGGGGTCCTGATATTTGGCCCCCTAATTCTCCAGATTGCAATCCCCTCGACTACTATGTATGGGGCGTTGTTGAGAGAGATGTCAACAAAGCTCCTCATACCACCATCCAGTCTGTCAAGAAAGCAGTTCACACGGTGATGACCCAAATGGACAAGGTCATCGTCGCCAAGGCCTGTGCTTCATTCCGCACTCGCCTCGAGAGTGTTGTAGCTAATAATGGAAACTAAATTGAATAAATAAAAACTATATCCTTCTATCTACTACTGTGTCAAATTTCATTCGGATATTTTAATTTTTACTTGCAAATAATTTCAGTTAAAATACCATTGTTGAAATTCCCAATTTACCTGGTACACCCTGTATATATAATAAAGGGAAACATTAAAACATGAATGTTTATTTAAAAAAAAATCAAACTTTTACTGTTTTTACTACGATGAAAAAAATATTGGGAGGGCTTGGTTCATCAGCGGTGAACCCTCCCAGCGGTTTCGCTAATTCAATCTACCAGACCGCTTCTTTAGAGTTCTAATACTGTATTGGATCATTATGGCTTTATATGCTGCAATAAAGGATGGGATCTTCGAAATTGTATTCAAGCAAACTATGGACATATGCTTTTAGGAAATTAGATTTACATATAAGCAGCGAGCAATGCTCTTTCGCAAACAATAAATACAAGTGAAAAAATAGTACAAATGTGATATTGTACTGGGATAAGGTTTATATATTAAGAAAAAGGCATCTCCTTATCGTGCAACTAAAAGTTTCTGCCATCTATCGGAATAAATATCAACTATTCTCGTTGATTTCTGAAATAATAAAAATTAAACGAGAATAGTTGATATTTATTCCGAAAGATGGCGCAAGCCATCAGAAACTTTCGGTTGCACGATAAGGAGATGCCTTTTTCTTAATAAATACAAGGTTATGAATATTTTAAACTATTATATATGCGTATGATTCTTTTTAAAATTAAACTAGTTCTACTGCCCTTACTGTAATGGAAAAATTAATGGTATTGCAGTAAGAGCAGTAGAAATATAAAGTCAAACACACATTAAAATTGATAAAAACACAAGAGAAACAATGAGGAAAGTTGACACGGAATAATAAAATATATAAATATCAAACATTAATAATTTGTTAAAAAAATAACAACAACAACAAAAGCCTTTATTGAGGAGCTCTCGTCCTATAAAGGATTCGCCAGTTTACAGAGTAATTGAAGAGAACTAAGAATACAGAGATATATGTAGTAGGTATGGTATTTTCTACACTGTGACTATATACAACAACAAGCCTTTTACTGGAATCGAAGTCCCATACAGAATTCGTCATTCTAATCCTGACAGAGATTATTTACATCAATTAGATTATGTATATAGCTTTCCCTTCTCTTCAGCCGTCTTCCAAAATTTGAACAACGCAACCGCTCCAGCTCTGTTTCTCACCACCTCAGTTAATAAATAATAAATACATTTGCTAAAATATAATAACGATATTGTAGATGGGATATTACACTCGATATCTTATATTGGTGTTATATATAAAAGGAAACTCTACCCTCAGAGAAAATAATCTTTTATTTTAGTATATTAATGTTTCCATTGCAATAGACTTAGAACAAAACACTATAAAGGAATGACAATACATCCAGATGGCACAAGAACTTATAGAACATGCAACAACTGTCCTGGTGTGGAACTAACACCTACCCACATATTCTCATGCCCAGCAATGGCCGCATCCTTGCAGAAAATTGACTTTGACCCAGAGCAACAGCTTTACGCACCCAAGATAGTGGATATTGCTGCTGCTGTGATAGAGATGCATGGAGACATCTGAGACTCTTCTTTGGACACGACAACAACAACAACATAAGGACAGTAGAAATTGTTAAAAGAATCATACACGTCTATAATAGTTTCGAATTTTCATAACAGATGGCGTGCTTTGAATCATAAAATAAAAGGTTAGTTAGGTATAATTAATTATAAGGCGATAATGTACCATCTATATATATTACATGGAAGCATTTAAGGATGAATGTTTCTTTCGTTCTTTAATTCTTTCAGTTCTAAAATATTTGTGTTGAAATATTACACATAGTAACAATGGCTATAGATGAGCTCGTGTTTGAAAAGGAACTTGTATGTATATTATAATTATTGTTTTTTGTTGTTTTCATGTAAAACATATACCAAGATTTGTTTTGTATAATTGCTATTAATAATAAATAATATTTAAAACGACATTTGATAACTATCCCGCATGTGTTTCTTTTCAACGAAAAATCAAAATTTATTTCGAAGAGAAATAATGATTATTTCTAACCTTTGGGATGAGGTATGAAAGGGTGAATTGTGAAGAATAATGATAAACGGGAAAATAAAAGTGTCCAGGGATGGGAATCGAACCCACAGTGTTCCGCTTACTGGGCAGATGCCATGTCCACTAGACTACCCTGGACATATTGGACATGGCATCTGCCCAGTAAGCGGAACACTATGGGTTCGATTCCCATCCCTGGACACTTTTATTTTTCCGTTTATCATTACTCTTCACAATTCATCTTTTCATACTTCATCCCTTAGGTTAGAAATAATCATTATTTCTCCTTGAAATAAATTTTGATTTTTCGTTGAAAAGAAACACATGCGGAATAGTTTTAAAATGTCGTTTTACAACCACAAGCCGCATTATATTATATTGTATTATAAATAATATGTAAAGTTAAATTGGTTACGGATTCATCCTTCTTACTTACTTTAATTAAATAATGATTTGTATTTTGAGTCAAAAGGCGATCCATTAATTAAGATTATATAAAAGGGCGTACCTGGATCTGTAAAGATTTACAGATCCAGGTACGCCTTTTTAAATAATTTGTATGTCATCTTACTGTCCTCAAAGCTTAAGTATATAATTTTCTTAATTGAGTTAACCAAGCTTCCTCCAATAATGACGGATATACAAGCATAATCGTACAATACAATATTAAAGTTCTAAGAAAAGGTATGTTTGGTTAAATTAGCGATATCTTTTGATAGGATTTACCATTGATTACCAATACCTTCATAATATTTTTTATCGCAATAAAGACAATATCAAGTTTTCTTTTTAAAGAAAATTCCATGCGTAATAGATTCATTTGGTATTTATAATAAATATCATATTACCATTAAGGTACCGTCACTGTTTTTCCTACATGTATCCTACATTTCTGCTTGGAGAATCTGTACAAGACTAAAAGATCAAATATTCGAAATGAACTCAGAGAGAAGAATTACAAAAACCATAATAAGACTCAGAACAAAACACTATAAAGGAATGACAATACATCCAGATGGCACAAGAATCTACAAGACATGCAACAACTGTCCTGGTGTGGAACTAACACCTACCCACATATTATCATGTCCAGCAATGGCCGCAGCCTTGCATAAAATTGACATGGACCCAGAGCAGCAGCTTTACACACCCAAGATAGCGAACTTTGCTGCTGCTGTGATAGAGATGTATGGAGACATCTGAAGCTCTTCATTGGACACGACAACAACAACAACAACTAAAAGGTCTTAATAAAGCTTTTTGTTGTTTTACATTGCTGATTACTGGTACTTAGTTTTTAGCATCAGGCGACGTTACGTTTTCTTGATATATTGTTTCTCCTGTAGAAGGGCAGACAAGCCCGAAAGCTTGAGAAGATCAAAATAAAGATACTTATCTCCATAAACGTTTTATATTCTGATATCATGATTACTGGTACTATTACTGTTATTCCTGTATATATCCTACATTTCTGCTTGGAGAATCTGTATAAGACTAAAAGGTCTTAATAAAGCTTGTTGTTGTTGTATTTATAATAGTTTCTTCTTAAAAGGCAATATAATTTTTGATTACACATATAATTGCGTTTTATATAATTTCTATCAAATACAATAGAGTTGCTGTCAGTCAGTTGATGGGAGATAAAGACGTGAATGTTGCGGAGTCCAATTATTTGGTTGTGTGGAAATGTTGATAAGAAAATACGACGCCTCTGGCAAACTGTCAAGGATATCGATGATGTAATGTCAACGTGAGGTAGTTCTGCTAGGTCTGGTTGTAATTATGACATACGTCAACAGCTATCATTGTTCAGCTATCATTTCACTATATAATGGTGTCAGAGATAGGTCTGTTGGAATAGTGATACCCAAGATCTAGGTAACACTTTACTACATAAACATGCCGGAATGAGATAGTGCTATGTCTTTTTTAATATAGTGATACCCTTTCTATCATTTCACTACATAAACACGATAGAATGAGATAGTGCTAAATCCGTTTGAATATAGTGACACCCTAGCTATCATTTCACTACATAATAGTGTCAAAGCAGGTCCCTTGACGAAGTGGTACCTCTTTGAGCTAGCTATAATTTCACTACATAAACACGATAGAATGAGATAGTGCTAAATCCGTTTGAATAAAGTAACACCCTTGCTATCATTTCACTACATAAACACGATAGAATGAGATAGTGCTAAATCCGTTTGAATATAGTGACACCCTAGCTATCATTTCACTACATAATAGTGTCAAAGCAGGTCCCTTGACGAAGTGGTACCTCTTCGAGCTAGCTATCATTTCACTACATAAACATGCCGGAATGAGGTAGTGATAAATGAATTGTTACAAAGATATAGCTATCATTTCACTACATAAGAGCGTCAGAGCAGGTCAGTTGGGAAACAGTGACACCCAGTATCTAGCTATTATTTCACTACATAATAGAGTCAGAGATAGGTATGTTCAGGTATAGTGATACCCATTAAATTAGCTATCATTTCACTACATAAACATTACAGAATTAGATAGTGCTAAATCCGTTTGAATAGTGACAAAGATCTAGCTATCATTTCACTACATAATAGAGTCAGAGATAGGTATGTTCAGGTATAGTGATACCCATTAAATTAGCTATCATTTCACTACATAAACATTGCAGAATGAGATAGTGCTAAAGCCGTTTGAATAGTGACAAAGATCTAGATATCACTTCACTACATAAGAGCGTCAAAGCAGGTCCGTTGAGGAAGTGGTACCCTTTAAGCTAGCTATCATTTCACTACATAATAGTATAAGATCAGGTCCGTTGGGAAATAGTGACACTCATGATCTAGCTACCATTTCACTACATAAACGTGACAGAATGAGATAGTGCTAAATGCTTTGAATAGTGACAGATACAATCTAGCTATCCTTTCACTACATAAACATGACAGAATGAGATAGTGCTAGGTCCTTTTGAATATAGTAACACCCTAGCTATCATTTCACTATATAATAGTGTCAGAGCAGATTCATTGGAATAGTGACACCAATGGTCTAGCTATAATTTCACTACATAAATACGACAGAATGAGTTAGGGCTAGATCCTTTGGGATAGTGACAGATATACAATCTAGCTAACACTTCACCATATAAGTGTGTTAGAGGAGGTCTGTTGGAATAGTAATAACCATGATCTAGCTATCAATTCACTACATAATAGTATAAGATAAGGGCCGTTGGAATATATAGTGACACCCAGGATCTAGCTATCATTTCACTACATAATAGTGTCAGAATAGGTCTGTTGAAATAGTGATACCATGAGCTAGCTAACACTTCACTAAATAAACGTGATGGAATGAGAAAGTGCTATGTCCATTTGAATATAGTGACACCCATGATCTAGCTATCAATTCACTACATAATAGTGCCAAAGCAGATCCATTGGAATAGTGACAACCGTGATCAACATGACAGAATGAGGTAGTGCTAAATCAATTGGAATAGTGACACCAATGATCAAGCTAAGACTTCACTACATAATAATGTCAAAGCAGGTATGTTGGGGAACAGTGACACTCAGTATCTAACTATCATTTCACTACATAAACATGACAGAGTGAGATAGTGCTAAGTACGTTGAAACAGTGATACTCAGTATCTAGCGCTTATTTTACGGTGGAATCTGTGGCCACTGGACATGCGTCGAACCTGGAGGCTGTTGTTGGGTTCTGTGCTGCCTGGAGTATAGGAGCTCTATCTATGCTTCCTTCCTGTGGTGAATCTGTATAAGACTTGTGGTCTTAATAAAGCTGTATGTGTGCGTATATTTAGAACAATTTTTGGGTTCTGTGCTTCCTGGAGTATAGGAGCTCTATCTATGCTTCCTTCCTGTGGTGAATCTGTATAAGACTGGTGGTCTTAATAAAGCTGTATGTGTGTATATTCAGAACAATTGTTGGGTTCTGTGCTGCCTGGAGTATAGGAGCTCCATCTATGCTTCCTTCCTGTGGTGAATCTGTATAAGACCGGTGGTCTTAATAAAGCTGTATGAAAGTGTGTGTATATTCAGAACAGTTGTTGGGTTCTGTGCTGCCTGGAGTATAGGAGATCTATCTGTGCTTCTTTCCTGTAGTGAATCTGTATAAGACTGGTGGTCTTAATAAAGCTGTATATGTGTGTATATTCAGAACAATTGTTGGGTTCTGAGCTGCCTGGAGTATAGGAGCTCTATCTATGCTTCTTTCCTGTGGTTAAACTGTATAAGACTGGTGGTCTTAATAAAGCTGTGTGTGTATATTCAGAACAATTGTTGGGTTCTGAGCTGCCTGGAGTATAGGAGCTCCATCTAGGCTTCCTCCCTGTGGTGAATCTGTATAAGACCGGTGGTCTTAATGAAGCTGTATGTGTATATTGCTAACAATTTCTAAGCAGGTTTTTCATGTTATGCTTTACGAGTTATCATAATACAATCATTTCTTCTTTTTCTACTCATCCTTACAACATAGGTACAAATCTTTCAAGCCCATTAAATACAGTAAAACCTTCTTGTAAAGTCTAAAACCGTACGCTATCTATTTAGACGTCTATTTTAACGGGAGAGGCGACCCTTGTCTGTTTAGATCAATTTACTCCAGGCAAAATTTCCATTCATAATATAAGCGCCAAAATTAGCATTTAATAGAAAAAAAACGGGGATAATAAATTTTAAAAAACTATAAAAACATAGATAAATAAAACATAAGGTTATTTACATTGAAATAGGAATCTAAATTACTCAAAATTACTCGTAATTAAGAATATATAAATAAAATTAAAGAGAGATGTGTCCCTCTAGATACATGAATATCATTCTCCTGCAACTTTATATTGTATTCTAACATAAAAATCAGCCTTTGCTACTTTACCAGCTTAAACACCTGTTTGGTAAATTTGACTGATTTCATAACTCCTTTCGTAGTGGGTGTTATGAATTTGAAGCCGCTTCTATACTGATGAGTGCCATAGTCCGTGACTATGGTATACAGGTTGGAATTTTGTCTGAATTTGCTTATTCTTGTGTTGTGACATATATATATGTAGTATATTTTGAGTTAGATTGTTCACAACCTTCTTCTGATAATTATTATATAACCCCATATCTATATAT